GCGGCACTGGACGACCTGATGGCCAAGTGTGCGCTGGACCTGCAGCAGGCATATCTGGCCTCACGCGAGTGGGGCGTCAGCACAGTCTTGACCATGCGGGGTCGGGACAAGTTGCGTCGCTTGAGCGACACGACCTTTGCCATTGCGGTTGTGTCCATGATGGGTTTTGGCCTCCATGAACTCATCAATGTCAAGCCGACGGACAAGTGCCCGCTCTGCAGCAGCAGGACACCTCAGCCGCGACTGACCCGCGAGCACCTGTTGACCTGCCGTCCCATCAAGCGTCACAACGCCCTTCGCGACGAGATGGGCCGCCTGCTCAGGTACGCCACCCTCTCCCATGTCTGGGTGGAAAAGTCTGGCTACAACGCCAACGGTCAGAGCTGCCGCATCGACCTGCACTGCCGCAACCCCTTTCCCGGCGGTGCTCTGGGCCCAGCTCTGCCCGACCTGGGCATTGACGTGACTGTGCGCACAGCCCAACCCCCGACCACCTCGCAAGCCTGCATCAAGGTGGGCGCTGCCCTTCGCCGAGCCGAAAAGGAGAAGCGCGACTACTACACCGGTTTCAACCATGGAAAAACTCTGATCGTCCCTGCGGCGAGGACGACAACCGGTGGGTTCGCCTCCTCCTTTGTGGATCTGCTTGGTCAGCTCGCCCGCTGCGCCGAGGCCCGTGGTGTGTACCAGCCGGGGCTGGACGAGGCCTTTGTTCCTCGGTGGAAGGGTCGCTTTGCGGCGCTGGTCCATCAGATGAACGCTGACCACATCCAGCGCCACTTTGGCGGTGTCTGCCTGCGCTCGTCGTAGGTAGGCACCGTCTCGGGGGTCCCTCTGTGGGGATCCCTGTGTGCACCTGTCGCTCCCTTGGTGGTTCCTCGTTGTGTCTTTTGATGGCTTGACTTGTATTTTTGTCTGATTTCGCTTTGATTTCTGCTGTATCTGTGTGGTATTTTTGCTGAATTTTTGTAAGGTCCTTTGTATGATGTCTTTGTCTTCTGTGGTTGGTTGTTTTCTCAATCCGACGTTGTGTCTCGTTGGATGTGAGCGTGCCGTGGTGTTCATTGTGTTTGTGCTGTGATGGCTTGTAGTTGTGATGTGTGACTGCCCTTTTGGGTGTCTTGTGTTTAAAATGGCCGTATCTCTGGTTATACTTGGTTGTTTTGTACGATTTTTGTTTCTGTGTGCAGGATTCTTCGCGCT